TAGATGAACATGGATTGCGTGCATGCATAGGAGTCGATCATTTGCAATCACCTTGCAATCATTCGACAGAACTTGACAGAAGACACGAGAACAACAGACACATCACATAAAAAAAGAGTGCGTTGAAAGCGCTATGAACTTCTCGCGCGGCGAGCTGCGAATATAAGTTCACAATACACGACGACATTGCATGATATCGTCGTCGACTACAACGACCGACACACTGCACACCTGTACCCCGACGCACCACAAACCATTCAAACCTATCAACCCGACTTCGTGGCAGAGGCGACGCGCTAAACAAGTGCGCAACCGACGACGATCTTGCGGAATCCCTCTCTCCGACACACTAAACAGGTGCGCACTTTGCGTCGGTGCAACCCTATCCTCCCGCATGACGACCATCCACTACTACATGCGCGCGAGTCCACAGAAGCAGCCGAACCTCCGCTCCCATCCCATCCGTCCTCCTCCCCAGCCAACCATCAGCCCCAACCTTCCCCCCCCCCCCCTACGCGTCATCTTTCCCATCGGCGTTGTTGTCATCGTCAGGGGGGCCCGAACCCAACCAATCTAGCTTCTTTGCATCCTCCGGCCCCGTTATGCTCGCGTCGTGCTTGAAAGCAATGCCGCAGGGCGCCCATTGAGGTATGTAGTTGGGGTACTGTCCGAACGTAGCAGTCGCCTTCCCTAGCCTGTCTGTGACGACTTTCGCGGCGCGGACGACGGATCGTCGATGATCGAAGGAGCGATGCATGGCCGCGACGAGTGTGGGCTTCGCCACGAGGTCCGCGAAGTAGAAAGCCTCGTAGTGGCTGCGCGGATCGTCTCCCGCCATGCGCATTATCCACACACACGCCACCAACAACAGCCTGAAGCAATCAGCCACCCGAGAAAGACGATCGTGCGAGATGAACTCGTTGTCGATGAGCGCCCCCATTTGCACGGCCGCGCGGAATGCATATGTGACGCGGATGACGGTGGACTCCTGGTGCGCCGCCATGTCGTCGTCCTCTGGTCTGTCCTCGATGTTGGCGCCGGCGAACCAAAGCGGTAGGTCCATGGACAAATCTATCGTGTGCGCGCAAATCGCCGGACTGACAACCTCGCACCACTCCTCGCCGTACCACATGGCACGCGCAATGTCCGTCGCAAAGGATTCCAGCGAGTACTGGAAAGCCACATGGTATCCCCTTGGCCGATTTCCGGACTTGAATACCCATCCGTGCAAGATGCGCAGAGCAACGTTCTCCACTTCCGCCGCACGGGAGATCGCTTGCTGCAGCTGCGATTGGTCGACGATCCTGGCCACGCGCGTGCTGGCTTTGGGCAGAACGACGCTCCGAGGGACGTCAGGCGCTGGAAGTCCGCTGGCGATGGCGATGAAGCAGTCTTTCGTTTCGTGTACGATGTTGTATAGTCTTCGCCCCTCCCCCATCGTCCAGAAAGCTTTGTCATCGACCCAAAGGACGGCACGATCAATGAGGTCTTTCGTCATTACACTCCTTCGTGGCCGACTTGAACCGGCCTCGCCTGCCTCCCGCTCGACTTTTCTCTCGCCACGCGCCTCCTCTCTCGCCGTCGCCACAACTGCTGCGTCCTCCCTCCCAGTCGCTACGGCGCCCACATTGCCTGAACCAACCGCCCCCACGGCACCTGCCACCTGGGCGCCAACTGCGCGAGCGTCTGCCACGACTTCCCCCCTGCCAACACGATGGACAGACCCTCCATCACCAGCGTCGTTGCGCTGACGTGGCTGAGACGGCGTGGCGGGCAGCCTGCCCGAGACTGGCCTATCGTTTGTAGCAACCCGCACGACCACCTCTGACGGTGGGGTCGTCGTCGTACGAATGCGAATGCGGCGTCTCTCCAAGGGCTCGTCATCATCGCCGCCAAGATCGACGACGGGAGCCTTCTCTGTCCGCATTTCACGGCCACACAGTTGCTGCGCCTCGTGTGGAGGGGTCTGCATCCTCTTCGAAGCGGTGCGATCAGAAGAGAGTTGCCGATCGCTCTCGCGTACTTCAGACGTTGTCGCCTCCGCCTGCTCCTCCTCCACCGTGAACTTATCGTCACAGTCCCCTTCCACTTCCCCCGCCCAACCTTGCGCTCCACGACCACGAACCCTTGGCAACAAATCTTCCGTACGCACCCTCTTCGCTTTCGGGGCCTGCCACCGCCCTCTTCCCTGCTCTTGACTATCGTCGACGACCACGTCGCGCTTCTTCCCACGAGTGTTCCCTCGCGTAGACATGTTTCGTGGCGAACTTTGAAGGCGAGCTTGGCAGTGTGATCGGACGAGCGGGAAGTGTGGCCGACCTGGCGAAAAATATGTCTCCCGTGAAAAAGGTCTCCCGTGCACTGTGGCGTGACGACAACGACGTGCACGTGGCAGACAGACGATCTGTCCTCTGCGGGAGGAAGACGCGACGACGACGGACATCCACGCGACGCAGTAGATCTCTCCTCCGCGGGACGAAGACGACGACGTGCACGTGGCACACAGGAGATCTATCCTCCGCAAGAAGAAGACGTGACAACGACGAACACCCCCACGACACAGGAAATCAGTCCTCCGTGGGAAGAAGACGTGACAACGACGAACACCCCCGCGACACAGGAAATCAGTCCTCCGTGGGAAGAAGACGACGACGTGCGCGTGGTTCACAGAAAGACGAAGGCCACGGCGAGAGTAATCCGCGTTGAGAAGACTGGCGGCGAGAAGAATACAAGAGCGACGATCACAATGATCCGCGGCGACCAGGCTTGCAGCACCTCGTCGTTGTTTCGGGCGGCTTGCTGCTGTACTGGAGACACCTTCGCGGCGTGGACGACAAACAGACGGGTCGGGATGCGCAGAACTTAAGTAGTCTTTCGGAGATGGAACTCCCGCAACGTCACTTCTTTCTGGCGGGAAATGACATCGTCGACGGTGGCAAGTGCGACCGCCCTGCCCACACTGCCGTGTGTTTTCCACCCCGAAGGCGCGAAAAAACCCTTCGACGTCCCTGGCGACGCGCGTCAATTTAGTCGCCAGGGACCGAACCCCTGCCCGCCCCATCGCTTTCCCCCCCGTCGCAGCCACCAAACACCCCCGCACCCCAAGCCCTTCCTCCCCCTCCC